ATGTATTCTGCTACATGTTTTTGGTGAAAAAAAATCCCAATAAGTGTATATTGATTGCTTTGTGTGAACGTTATAGCATCTACAAACTATGGTATAATGCAATTTACACCATTTTTGCTAAAGAGCGCTGCACTAGTTTAACTGACAATTGCGCAGTCATGCAATTGATATTTTCTCATTTCTGTCATGAAAAGTATCCAAAAAACTAAAAATTTCCTCAAACGTTTAACTGACAATTGCACGGTCATGCAATACAGTACATAAATTAAGATTTGTCCTTTTTTCACACAAACAGAGCTTTCTTTTGGTGGTATTTGATCACATGTGCGCTTTTTATTTTTTGCGCTATAAACAAAAAAAGACCGAACATTTTGGAAAAAAACCCTATATTTTTTACTTTTGGCTATAAAAAATACATAGTAAACTCAAAGTTAGTCATAAATTTAGGCCAAAACGTATTCTGCTACATGTTTTTTGGTAAAAAAAATTCCAATAAGTGTACCATATTTTCCGGTGTATAAGATGACTTTTTAACCCATGAAAATCTTCTCAAAAGTCGGGGGTCATCTTATATGCCGGTATACGGCATGCTGACACTTGGTGTCAGGGCGGCACTTTTTAGGGGGGCAGCGCGGTGCCGCCGCCGCCGCCCCCCCCCCCTTCCAACAGAAGGGACACTAAGTACAGGGGTGGGCAGGGGGCTGCTGTTTCTTACCTGGCTCCGGTCCCAGTCCCACGACGATCCAGTCCAGGAAGCGCGGCTGCTCCTTCATTCAGTTCAGCCGCTCAAATGCTCGCGCGGGCCGCTCGGCTCCGCCTCCTCATCGGTGATTGGGCGCCAGAACTGTAGCTCAGGAAAGGCACACAGGCGGCCAATCACCAGCGAGGAGGCGGAGCCGAGCGGCCCCACGAAAATCGAGTGAGGGAGCGGCCGGTAAGTGTGCCGTGCAGAGGTGCTGCTGCAACCATGTATGCTGGCTGCAGCAGCACCATGCTGGAACAGGTTTCAGCAAGTGTCATTGGTGTCAGTGGGAGGAATAGTGTCCCATCATTGGTGTCAATGATACTAATGATGGCGCATTATTCCTCCCACTGACACCAACGATGGGGCACTATTCCTCCCCCCACTGACACCAACGATGGGGCACTATTCCTCCCCCCCACTGACACCAATGATGGGGCACTATTCCCCCCCCCACTGACACCAAAGATGGCGCACTATTCCTCCTCCCCACTGACACCAACGATGGGGCACTATTCCCCCCCCCCCACTGACACCAACGATGGGGCACTATTCCACCCCCCACTGACACCAATGATGGAACACTATTCCTTCCCCCACTGACACCAATGATGGGGTACTATTCCTCCCACTGACACCAATGTTGGGACACTATTCCTCCCACTGACACCAATGATGGGGCACGATTCCTCCCACTGACACCAAAGATGGGGCACTATTCCCCCCACTGATACTATTGATGGGGCACTATTCCTCCCACTGACACCAATGATGGGGTGCTATTCCTCCCACTGACATCAATGATGGGGTGCTATTCCTCCCACTGACACCAATGATGGGGCACGATTCCTTGCTCTGACACCAAAGATGGGGCACTATTCCTCCCACTGACACCAATGATGGGGTGCTATTCCTCCCACTGACACTTATGATGGGGCACGATTCCTCGCTCTGACACCAATGATGGGGCACGATTCCTCGCTCTGACACCAATGATGGGACACTATTCCTCCCACTGACACCAATGATGGGGCATGATTCTTCCCACTGACACCAATGATGGGGCACTATTTCTCCCACTGACACTGATGGAGTACTATTCCTCCCACTGACACTAATGATGGGACACTATTCCTCACACACTGACACTAATGATGGGGCACCATCATTGGTGTCAGTGGGAGGAATAGTGTCCCATCATTGGTATCACTGGGAGGAATAGTGTCCCATCATTGATGTCAGTGGGAGGAATAGTGTTCCATCATTGATGTCAGTGGGAGGAATAGTGCCCCATCATTGGTGTCAGTGGGAGGAATAGTGCCCCATCATTGGTGTCAGTGGGAGGAATAGTGCCCCATCATAAGTGTCAGTGGGAGGAATAGTGCCCCATCATTGGTGTCAGTGGGAGGAATAGTGTCCCATTGGTGTCAGTAGGAGGAATAGTGCCCCATCATTGGTGTCAGAGCGAGGAATCATGCCCGATCATTGGTGTCAGAGCAAGGAATCGTGCCCCATCATTGGTGTCAGAGCGAGGAATCATGCCCGATCATTGGTGTCAGTGGGAGGAATAGCACCCCATCATTGGAATACCATACTGAAATACCATACCATATTGAAATCAAATCTGATGTTTTTAAATTTTTATTTGGTGTGCGTTGGAAGAGGGGTAGTCTTATATGGCGAGTATAGCCCAAACCCTATATTTTAACAGGAAAAGTAGGGGGTCGTCTTATACGCCAGAAAATACGGTATATTGATTGGTTTGTGTGAAAGTTATAGCATCTACAAACTGTGGTATAGATACTGCAATTTACGCCATTTTTTTCTATACAGCGCTGCTGAGTTTAACTGACAATTGCGCGATCATGCAACACTGTACCCAAACAAAATGTATGTCCTTTCTTTCACACAAATAGAGCTTTCTTTTGGTGGTATTTGATCACCTCTGGGTTTTTTATTGCACTATAAACATAAAAAGACTGAAAATGTAGAAAAAAAAATATTTTCTCATTTCTGTCATAAAAAATATCCAAAAAATTCAAATTTTGTCATAAATGTAAGCCAAAATGTATTTTGCTACATGTCTTTGGTAACAGAAAAATCCCAATAACTGCATATTAATTGGTTTGTGTGAAAGTTATTGCATCTACAAACTATGGTATGGATACTGGAATGTACACAGCTTTAACTTTCTGACTGCCTATCACATTTCCTGAGGTGCTAAAATACCAGGATAGTACAAACACCCCAAAACGAACCCATTTCAGAACGTAGACACCCTAAACTATCTTCTGAGAGGCATGTTGAGTCCATTGAAGATTTACTTTTTTTCCACAAGTTTTTGGAAAATGACTAAAACCTTTTTTTTTGCACAAAGTTGTCACTTAAATTATATATTGTTCACACAAGCCATGGGTATATGTGGAATTACACCCCAAAATACATTCTGCTACCGAGTATGGGGATACCACGTGTGATACTTTTTGGGAGCCTAGCCGCATACAGGAGCCTGAAATCCAATGACCACTTTGAAAGCTTGAAGGTGCGTAACTTCTTCATTTCACTTCCTCACTACTTATCACAGTTTTGGAGGCCCTAAAATGCCAGGATAGCACCAAACCCCTCAAAATTACCCCTTTTTTGAAAAGTAGACACCCCAAGGAATTTAAAAATTGGCATGGTGAGTATTTTGCAGATTTCATTTTTTCTTACAAGGCTTTGAAATATTATAAAAGAAAAGACAAAATATGTTTTTGTTTTCTTTCTTCATTTTCCAAAAACTTTTGGCAACAAATGAGATCTGCAAAATACTCACCATGCTTCTTATAAAATTCCTTCGGGTGTCTACTTTCCAAAAAGGGGTCATTTGGGGGGTTTGGTGCTATCCTGGCATTTCAGGGTCTCCGAAAATGTGATAGGTAGTCAGGAAGTGTAATGAGGAAATGAAGCACTTTAAAAGCCTGGAGGTGCTTATTGGATTTTTGGGGCCCTGTACTTGGCTAGACTGCCAAATAGTCTCTCACATGTGGTATCCCCATACTCGGAAGAAATAGCAGAATGTATTTTGTGTGTGAGCAACAAATTATTTAAGTGACAATTTTGTGTTGAAAAAAAAAATTTTTTTTGTCATTTTCCAAAAAATTGTGGTAAAAAAATAAATTCTTCTATTGACTCAACATGCCTCTCAGCAAATAGTCTATTTCCAAAAAGGGGTCATTCCAAGGGATGGGGTCATTTTATGCTCAGCATTAGAAATGTATGCCACACATCACTCTTCTAACCACCTGAAGACCAAGTCTTTTCTGACATGTTTTGTTCACATAAAAATAATCAGTATTTTTTCTAGGAAATTACTTTGAACCCCAAACATAGTTGTCACGAAGTGCCCATGCCTTCCCCACCCCCCTTTTCCGGCTGTCCCTCTGCCTTATCCCTCCACCCCTCCCTCCCTCCTTGCAGACTCCTCAGTCCTGCTAGCTTACATAAAAGGGCTGTGCAGGACTGCAGAAAGGGAGGAAACGCCAACTGTGGTGTGATTAGCACCTCTCCAGCAAAGCAGCCTGAGACAAAGGCTGTGCTCCCCCCGCGTGGCCGGAGTGAGGGGGGCGTGCCTCGTTGCCCTGGCAACGCGGTGCTGGGCTATACGTTGCCGAGGCAACCTGGCAGCGGCTTTAAAAGGCCGTGTGAGAGCAGGCCGGTCTCTTTGTTCCTGTGCATGCTGCTGGAGTCGCCTACCTCCCTGGAAGCCGCTGGGAGGCCCGGGACTGGGCCTCTGCAGTCGTCCCCACTGCGCACTTTTCAGACCCCCAAAAGTTCAGGACTGTAGCCCTCTGCAACTCCCCAGGGTTGGGAGTACATGCTGCCCTCCGCTGAATGTCCCAGGGTGGGAGCCCCCGCAGCCATCCCCGCTGAACGCTTTGCATGAGCCCCCCTCCGCAAAGGTCAGACCCCACAGCCATGATTCTTACTGCTGTTCCTGGCCGCTGCGATGGACCCCTAGAGAAGCAGGCCGCTGGGAGGGCTCCTGCCTGCTGATCACTGGGCCCCTGGAGAAGCGAACCACTGGGAGGGCCCCTGCCTGCTAATCACTGCTGTCCCCTGAAACGCTGGCTGCTGTGAGGGCTGCCGTCCGTTGCCGAGGGCCCCTGGGAAGCCGCACTGTATGCGGATCGCTGGGCCCCTGGGAAGCCGTCCTGCCTGCTGACCGCTTTGTCCCTGGAAGCTGCCTGCTGCTGAGCGTTCGCAAGTCGCCTATCCCCCTGGAAGTCGCCTGCTGCTGAGCGTCCGCAAGTCGCCTACCCCCCTCTGGAAGCCGCCTGCTGCTGAGCACCTGCAAGACACCTATCGTATGTGTCCCTAGAAGCCATGAACTGTCCCTGTTGTGTGCACAGACCACCCTTGTCCTGAACTGTCCCTGGTGTGTGCACCGACCCCCTCCGTGTCCTGAACTGTCCCTGTTGTGCGCACCGACCCCCGTGTCCTGAACTGTCCCTGTTGTGCGCACCGACCCCCCGTGTCCTGAACTGTCCCTGTTGTGCGCACCGACCACCCCGTGTCATGAACTGTCCCTGGTGTCCGCACCGACCACCCGTGTCCTGAACTGTCCCTGTTGTGCGCACCAACCACCCGTGTCCTGACCTGTCCGTGTTGTGCGCACCGACCACCTGTGTCCTGAACTTTCCCTGCTGTGTGCACCGACCACCCATGTCTTGAACTGTCCCTGCTGTGTGCACCGACCACCCGTGTCCTGAACTGTCCCTGTTGTGGGCACCGAGCACCCGTCTCCTGAACTGTCCCTGTTGTGCGCACCGACCACCCATGTCTGGAACTGTCCCTGTTGTGCGCATCAACCACCTGTGTCCTGAACTGTCCCTGTTGTGCGCACAGACCACCCAGGTTATGAACTGCCCCTACTACACGCCTGGACTACCCTTACTTGAACCGCCCCATGGCATGCCCGGAGTATAGCTACCTGTGATGCCCCTGAGTGCTTGAGCCATCGCTACCTGTTGAGTACCCGTGAGCCCGATGTCCCTAGAAAGCTGGGTGGGAGCTGTGCTAGGCCAGACTCCACAGCTAGAGTCCTGTTGAGTCCCCGTGAGCCCGATGTCCCTAGAAAGCTGGGTGGGAGCTGTGCTAGGCCAGACTTTACAGCTAGAGTCCCGTTGAGTCCCCGTGAGCCCAATATCCCTGGAAAGCTGGGTGGGAGCCGTGCTAGGCCAGACTCCACAGCTAAAGTCCCGTTGAGTCCCCGTGAGCCCGATGTCCCTGGAAAGCTGGGTGGGAGCTGTGCTAGGCCAGACTCCACAGCTAGAGTCCCGTTGAGTCCCCGTGAGCCTGCTTACCGTGGGTGTCTCTACAAGCCGCCTGTCGCGGAGTGCCATGAACTGTCCTGATTGAGTGTCTTTCAGAGTTCAATAAAGCTTTGTGTGTTCCCCATCTTCTTTGTGTGTTCTGTCCTGCCTACGCTTCCGTCACAATTATATATTTTTTAAAGCAGACCCCCTAGTGAATAAAATGGTGGGTGCTGCAATTTTTTATGTCAAATAGATTTTTGAAACGCAAATTTAAAAAAAAATGCTTTAAAACTGCGCATACCCCGTGCAATGGCGACAAACTACATATATTTTTAATATATGGAAGGCAGCAGGGGAGGGGGGCATCTTCTCCCGCTGCTTGTAAAAGCAATCCTGCAGTTAATTAGCTACTATGATTGCTTTTACATGAAAGCTGATTGCTGGCTGAAAAAAACGATACCAGGATGATGCCTGTCAAATTCAGGGTCACCCCGAGGATGACAGTGTGTATTGTTGTTGAAATGCATAAAACACATTATACTCTCATATCTATGCTTGGCCATGGCAGCAAAGAACACGGGCATATGATGAATCGGGTCTGCGGACCAATACAACTGCAATTAATTTTTTTTTAGTAATGTCCATGTTGAGGGTTAGGCCCAAAAAAACTTTAAATTCGGAAACTGTAATGGGTTTCCATGCAAATGGTCTGGCAAGGTTTGAATTTGGGTTGGCGGCGATAAACTGTTATTCATATAAATTGCTTTGATCCACAATCAATGCATACACATCTTCCATGAAAAACAGCTCCGAAAAATCAAGGGGAGTAGTTAAATGTGCTGTTTCCACCTGAATTTCGGGTTGGGCAGTGAATGGGGGAAGTACGGGTGCTGCAGAATTTGTGGGCTGCCAATTGGGATTTGCAAGCACATCCCGAAGGATACTAGGGCTTCTACAGACCTGTGTATGAATTCTTGGTGACTTTGGACACTACTTGTGCTCACCACCGCATCAGCTTGTACTGCACTTATGGGACTCGCCACGTCACCAAGTCATACTGCAGTGCTGGTATGTGAAAGACCAGGATGTACTAGACCGCTGGTGTCACCAGTTCACCAAAAGGTAGAGCGGCACTAGTACTGGCACTCTGCTGCATATGAGAGTCATCATGCAATTGTAATATCTCAGCAATCTGGGAATGGGGTTGGGTACGCCTGACCTTAACAGGGATCTATTCTCCACTGTCTGAGCTATCTGTCAGGGTGCCGCTGCTGTCTACAGGTTCGTATCCTGAGGGTCATTGTGTCAGGGAGTCTTCCCTTCGTTCTCACCTGACATGCTCAGAACCCTGTAAGCCTCTTCACTAGACTAACTTTCATTTGACATTTTTAGCACTAAATTTATGTCTAGGTACCTAGTGCGACTCATGGGAAAAAGAGCACCTGGCTGTCAGGGACTGCTTGAACCGCTACAAAAAAATTTACCGGAAAGTGCTAACAGAGATCAGGCCTGATTCTGTGAACACTGCGGTTTTGTGTGTAATGTATGAAGTAACAGTGACCTACTGACACTGCATTTGCTGGGAGAGAAGGGGGGAGGGGAATAAGTATAGGGCTAAACGCAGGTGCTGGCAGGTGTCGGGGCTGAACCTGCTAATGCTGCATTTTTGGGGACACGATATAAATGTGAACGCTGGTATAGTGCTGATCTGACCAAAGATAATGATCCGTTCAGACATTATACTAGCAAGTAGGGAGTTTTATTGTGAATATGAGCACATTCCTGGCAATCAAGGGGTTAAATGTGATGACTGGTGTACTGATGGGCAATCTGACGCTATCTGGGAGGGATGCTAAAATCTGCACACTGTACTAATGACACTGGTGACAGGGCAATGAAGGGGTTAACGGGGGGGGGGGGGGGGGGGGGGCGATCAAGGGGTTAAATGTGTCCTAAAATGTGTTCTGTGCGCAAGTGTGCTGTTTTACTCACTGTTTCTTGTTTCTTCTCTCTCAAGGAGGGAAAGTGCCCAGAGAGAGAAGATTTCATCATTTCCTGTAGCTGTGTAAGTGTAAACACAGGTACAGGAAGATCCCTGATAGGGCAGGGATCGACCATCCTATTTAGGCTGAACATTACTGGCCTAAAGTGGATAATTGATCCCTTGGGGATCAAATCACGGCACCCACGGGTTGGCGAAGGGGCTTTGGACCCCCCAGCCCACGAACACCACGGCAGCACGAATCACGTATATATACGTTATTTTGTGCACCAGTGCCGCCCTGACCAGTATTTCTGCTATAGGGCAGTCGGGAAACAGTTAAAATTATTTACTGCATGTTCAGAATATGTAAATACTTAGACTTGGTTCACATACTGTATATGCATTTTGCGTTTGATGCTTTCTTCAGTGTGTTTTGCTGTTTGTTATGTGTTTTTCTACATGTGTTTTTGACACTTTTTTATGTGTTTTGTTTAGCTCTTTTTTTTTTGTTAAAATTGAATTTTTTTTGTTGCTGGGCAGAATAAAAATGCAAAACGTGGCAAAAACGCACTACCATGCATTTCAGCAGCTTCTCCATGGAACTCTATTGTAGCAAAAACGCTGCTTTTTTTTTTTAAAAAAGTCCCTGACCCTTTCCAAAAACGCAGCAGCTCAAAAAAGCATATATGGGAACATGCTCCATAGGAAACCATGTTAAATGGACTGTAGTGCGTTTCTGCAAAAAGCACTAAAAAGGCATTGGTGTGTACAGAGCCTAAATGTGCATACAGGTTCACTTTAAGTTTTGTGGTCTTGATCTATTTATTGAACTCCTAATACTATAGATAGCAGGGTACTTGTCTGTTAATTCACCGGATTTTATATATATATATATATATATATATATATATATATATATATATATATATATATATATATATATATATTTTTTTTTAATATATATATATTTAAATAAAACATAAAAAATATATACATATATTTATTTATAAATATATTTATATATATATATATATATATATATATATATAAATAAATAAATCCGGTGAATTAACAGACAAGTACCGATAGCAGTATATCATATATGATCAGGAGCGGACTGACCATTTGGAAACTCGGGCACTGCCCGAGGGCCCGGGGTCAGTAGGGGGCCCCATGAGATGCCCCTGGTACCTTTTTCATAGGCTTTTTTGAGTTTGGGAAGGACACAGGGGCCCCATGATCCCCTATTGCCCGGGGGCCCCATGAGTTGTCAGTCCGCCCCTGTATATGATGATACATTGAACTGCCATCCAGAAGGCCATTTCTTTACAATTACAACGTAAGGGAATTCCTGACCTAGGATCATTGCTCTGTGAAATCAAGCTAAAGCAGAACTGGTTTTACATGTTCCACAGAATGGAAAAGAATGTGCAGAAAATATTTCTCATCACATTGAGTTAGAAGCTTTCATAAGAAATTAAAGGATAAGTTCACCCTTCTTACATGTTACACCCATACTGAGGGTGTAACATGTAACATGTTACGATCAAACCAGCTTCCACACCCCCTCTTTCCCCGTTGTGATAGCTAGCGGATATCTTCTCCTCCCTGCTAGCTGTCACAATTTTAAAAAAACGTGACCATGCGGGGCTCTGCCAGTATTATGTGAATGAGAACATTGTAAGTTTTGATAGCCCTTGAGGCTGTCAGCTTGTAGTTCTCAATTAACTACCACGGTGGTGTGGAGCTTCCTGCCAGTAGGTATCTGCTTGCCCTTATGAAACAAAAGAACAAAAAATAATAAATGCACATTTTTTACCTGCAAAAAAATGTGCATTTATTATTTTTGGTGAAAAGGTGAACTTATCCTTTAAGTTCAGACACACTGGCCTTGATTTACTAAGAACTGAGTCTACCAGCAGACGCTGAACATTCAGGCAGACTCAATTCAATCAACTAAGACCTGTCAGTCTTCAGAAAGGCACCCAGCAAGTTGACTGGAAAGAGTCTACTTTTCTAGACCCTTTCCTGTTCGTAAATACGAAACCACGTTGGGCGTATTTGTAGATGCAATGCCGGATATGTTCGCTAGGTGGCGAACAAGCACGGGCTTTGTCCCCTTGGAGTCTATCTGTTTGCATATGAGAATACTTTTAATTTAAAATAAAAAGCACACCTATATTATAATATTTTTTCATTATTTTTTTTTGTTAATGTTTCTCCAAAAATGATCGGCCAACTAATGCATTTTCTAATGAATGTCATACATCCTATTTTCAAATGTCAAACATTTTCACACTTATTCAAATAATTTGAATGTCTAGTTCTAAGTTCCAATATAATTATATATCTTCATTCTCTTTAATCATGTAACTATTCTACATTCCAGCTGAAACTCTGCTACAGTGGCTTAGTGGTTAGTACTCAGGGCTTATAGCACTTGGGTCAATGGGTTCTAATCCCTGTCATGGCTGCACCTGTCTGGAGTTTGCATGCTTTCTCTGTACGGGTGTGTTTCTGTCAACATTCCAAAGACATGCTGTTAGGTTAATTGAGCCTAGCATATGTCTGAGTTTCTGGCCTTAGGGCTCATGTACACTACAGCTGCTAAACTCATGTTTAGGAGCTGTTCAGTGTTTTTTTTTCAGCAGCCCCTGAACTCACCCTAATGTTTTTCTATGTGTCCATGTACACATCTTCGTTTACAGGCAGTTGAGTTCACAGTTTGTTTTTTTTTTAACGCAACAAACTTGCGTTCAGACGTCAATGTTATCAGCGTTTCAAATGCAAAATGCTTGTAAACACAGCTAAACATAGTAAATTGCATTTA